TTGTGGTTAATCTTTTTGTTTGCTGGTGTTTTTGGGATGCGGTTTCCGTATGTATCCTTGACTGGCCTGGTTATGTTTAGGAGGCTGGCCTCACACTCCTGGAGCTCTACCTGCCTCTGCCACCTGAATGCATTGACTAAAAGCATGTGCCCGGCATAATGGTTAATTTTGAAGGTCAGCGTCTTTGGATTTAGAACCAACAATAGAACACAAATCTCTAGGCAGGTGTATAAGGCAGTTTCTAAATTATGCTGAGGGGGGGAAGATCCACCCTAACTGTGGGTGGCATCACTCCACGGGTTGTAACTGGCCCCCATAAGCTCCTAGGGAATGGCACTATTAGGAGGTGTGACCTTGTTGGAGAAAGTGTCTCTTATGCTAAAGCTACACCCAGTGTTGACTCCTTTTGCTACCTGTGGTTCAAGATGTAGAACTCTCAAGTCCTTCTCCAGCACCATGTCTGCCTGGACATTCCCATGTCCCACCATGCTGATAATGATGTACATCTAAAATTGTAAGCTACCCAATTAAGTGTTTTCCTTATAAGAGCTGCAGTGGTCATGGTGTCTCTTCACAGCCACAGAAACCCTAACTAAGACAGGGTCCCAAACTGAATAGAAAGGAGGATGCAAGCTAAGCACCAGGATTAACCTCTGCTTCCTAGCTACAGCCAGTGTGACCTGCTGCCTCATTTTCCTGATGCCATGCCTTCTCTACCATACTGACTGCAACCCCTCAAAAAGGGAAGCAAAAATAAACCCCTTTCCTTTTTTTTTTTTGGTTGTTTTTCAAGGTAGAGTTTCTCTGAGTGTCACTGGCTGTCCTGGAATCTGCTCTGTAGACCAGGCATAAAACCTTGCCTAAAACCTTTTTTTTTTTTAAAATTTTTTAATTTATTATGTATATGGTGTTCTATACTGTCTGCATGCATGCCTGCAGGCCAGAAGAGGGCTCCAGATCTCATTACAGATGGTTGTGAGCGACCATGTAGTTGCTAGGAATTGAACTCAGGACCTCTGGAAAGCAGCCAGTGCTCCCAAAACCACTGAGCCATCTTTCTGGCCCCAAACCTTCCTTTATAAAATTACTTTCTGTCAGAGTATAATCACAGCAACAAGTAACTAATACAGAAATATTAAGAGTCAAGGCTGTTGATTTGATAAATCTATGTAGTCCATGGGCCTCTGGATTGGTTTATTGGAGGAAAGTGGAAGAGTTTGGTTCTGTGGGCTAGAGAAGCCCTAGAGTGCTGTAAGCAGGGCTTGATGGGCCATTCTGCTGGGGACTGTGGGAGTCCCGAGTGCCGAGAGGCCTGCATCGGATGCTTTCAGGGAGGAGAGAAGATTCTGTTAGGAACTGGGCCAGTTAGGCATTCATGTTCTCTATCAAGCAAAGAAACTGGCTACTTTCTGTCTGTGCCCCGTGAGCTTGAGTGAGGCTGGATTCAAAATGAATGGACTACCAGTTATCTCAAGCCAGGGCGGCGCTCAGACCACATATCATGGCTTCCGCTTACTGCTTATTCAGGTCCCCGGGGATAAACTACAAAAAAGGAGCAGAAAACATATCAAAAATGTGCAGTTTCTCAAGGAAAAAGAATGAGCAAGTTTAACAATAGAGATAATGCAGGATTGAAAGCAGCTGTAAGTTGGGCTGGAGCCATTAAAAACAAACATGGCACTCTGCTCTGGGACAACAGGAGAGGGGTCTTAAGGGCAAGACCATAAATGACAAAGTCTCCACCTCATGAAAGTGCAGACTCACTAGAAATAGTCTAGACTGAGGATGCCATAGGAAGGGTTCCCTCTCAAAACGACTGCCTAGGAAGTGTTCCCCAGAGTCGGCATGCAATGGCCACTGCAACTGAGTCGGCAGCACTGTCCACAAGGTATTGGTTTTGCAGGCATTAAAAATGAAAGACAGAGCCGGGCGATGGTGGCACACGCCTTTAATCCCAGCACTCGGGAGGCAGGCGGATCTCTGTGAGTTCGAGACCAGCCTGGTCTACAGAGCTACTTCCAGGACAGGCTCCAAAGCCGCAGAGAAACCCTGTCTCGAAAAATCAATTAAAAAAAAAAATGAAAGACAGAAGAAGCCATGGAGTCTTGAGCCCTGGTTCCAGAGAGCCACCGAAGGCAAAGTTGGCAGGTGTGCTGTTCCTGAGAGGCTACTGGGTGCAGGTGTGAAGGTATAGCCCAAGCTGCAATGGAGAGCCCAGGATGTTGATGAGAGCAGGACCATGAAACATTTCTGGTGCAAAGACATGGAGTGGAGCTGTCTCAAGAGGGAGGCAATAGGGCTTGTGGGGGTGGGGCTCCCCAGGCCCTTTGGAACTCCAGATACCCAACATGAAAGTATAGGATTTGGTGTTGCCCTGATGGGGTTTGGTCCTGCTTTTCTCCATTTATTCCTTGCTGTATCCCAGTTTTCTCATTTTGAGGTGTTCCCCAAATGGATATGCCCCATCCCACAGGGATTCTATGCTACTACGTAATAGATCTAACTTGGTTTCCATTAATAGCTGGTCACAAGCCTGACGATTTCTTAGATGAGACCTACTGGAAATGTTAGCGCCTAGGTGAAGTTAGGACGTTGAACTGGATGTATTCTATATAGGAAGGATGTACCTATGGAGACCAGAGGTGAATGTCAAGGTTTAGAATGATGATTGTTAACACTGTCAACTTGATGGGATTTAAAGTCAATATGGAAACAGCCTCTAAGTGTTTTTCAGGGAGCTATAGATTAACTGAGGTGGGAAGATCTCATCTAAATATGGATGGTACCATTCTGTGGGTTAGGGTCCTAGACAGAGGAAGAAGGAGAGAGCAAGCTGAGCATCAGCGTCCATTTCTCCCTGCTTCCTGTGGATGCCACGTGGCCAGCTGCCATCAATTCCTCATCATGAGCCAAAATAAACCTTTCTCTACTGAGTTGCATTCTTGGGATATTTTGACACAGCAACTAGAACAGTAACTAACACAAGGTTTTTGGGGTTTTAGTTGCTGTTGTTTTCCTACAGCAATTTTCTGAAGTTCTAATCTTACTGGTGGAGGCTCATTCTAACAGTATTTGCTAAGGAATTATATTCTATTTTTATTTACTTTTTTTTTTTTTTTTTTTTCGAGACAGGGTTTCTCTGTGGCTTTGGAGCCTGTCCTGGAACTAGCTCTGTAGACCAGGCTGGTCTCGAACTCACAGAGATCCGCCTGCCTCCCGAGTGCTGGGATTAAAGGCGTGTGCCACCATCGCCCGGCTACTTTTTTTGTTGTTGTTGTTTTTTTTTGAGACAGAGTTTCCAGTAGCCCTGGCTGTCGTGGAACTTGCTTTGCACAGCAGACTGGCCTCGAACTCAAGAGATCGGCCTGCCTCTATCTCCTGAGTGTTGTGCTGAAAGGTCCCAGGTTGGGATTATATTAGTTATTATTTATTTTATTCTATAATTTTGTTTTTCGAGACAGGGTTTCTCTGTGTACTAGCCCAGGCTGTTCTGCAACTCACTTTATAGACCAGGCCGGCCTTAAACTCACAGAGATCCACCTGCCTCTGTCTCCTGAGTGCTGGGATTAAAGGTGTGCGCCGCCACCATCAGCTGGCAGAATTATATTCGTAATGTTCTACTGGAAATATTTCCTCTAGACCAGGTTTTGGAGAGGTTCCCTCTGGACTTCTGTCAGTTTGACACAAATGCTCTCAAAGATGGTAAGCAATCATGTTTGGGAGAATGGAACCTCAGTTCCATTTGTATACTGATGACATATTTATTAATGCTCCTTTAGGTTTCTGGCCATTGGGCCTTCAATGTTTTTGTGGAAACTGTGGCACACCTAGAAGTATCAAACAGTCCTTGCTGGTCATTTATGAGGTTTACATTTCCTGAATGTTTCCATTCACACTTACTGGGGAACTGTTCTAAGAGCTAATTACTGCAGGTTTCATGCTCCAGCGACACCCAGACGTGCTAGCCCTGAAAGTCCCTTGTAGATTCCACACAATTATTACTGCTCTTCCTAGGGAGACTCCGCACCTGTGGTGGAGTTGGGGAGCCGCTTTTTTGCACTTCCTACGGATATTCTCTGTTGCAAGGCATCAAAAAAGGACTGAGGAATGTGGAACACCAGGGGTTCTGGTTTACCTGCAGAAAAAGGAAGGATGTTATTAAAGGAAACTTGGTTGTTCTTACTGTGCAAGGAGAGGGAAAAGGAAAGGAATGAATGGGGCTGTAATCAAAAGTACCTGCTGTGGGCTGGGGAGACAGTTAAAATGTGTAAGGTATTTGCCGCTAAGCCTGATAACCTGAGTTCAGTTCATGAAACCCACATGGTGGAAAGGGTGAACCAACTCCTGCAAGCTGTCTTCTGACATACATTGGCCATGGCATGAATGTGCCCTTCTCCCAACAAAATAAGATGCAATAATGATAATAACAATAGTAATAATACCCGAGGTTTCTTTATTCAAAGACAAAAAGGCTAATAGGATTTCATGAGCCAAGGATGGCATCAGTCTTGCCCCTCATCCCTTGCTCATAACACACCTATCCTCCACCAAGAATGACTGCAGATTGCTAGGTGAGTAACCACCACCAGAGGAGACATCTCCCACTGAAAGGCATAAGAACTGAGAACACTGAAGTAGAGCTGAGGAGCCTCTGATGGGCTTGTCCATTTGATTGACTCCTGCCTTCCATGCCCAGACACTTGCCAGCTGCATTCATGTCTAAGCAAAGCAAGAGGATGCTCTCACTTGCATGGTCAGAACCATGAGTGCTAAAGATTACGGGGTGTGAGTGTGGCAGGTACAGTCAGTATCATCTGTGACTCCCCGGCACATTAAATGTGGGGAAATATCCTTATCTCTTAATTTGGATGAAGAAAAAGTCAACAGAGTTCTGTAGAGGGGTGCATGAGCTCAGAGTTTTTCTTAATCCTAGCAGAAGGAAACATCTAGAGTTCCATGGATAAGCACAGAGCTGTGGCTCACCTGAGAGAAAGACTCTGTTTGGTTTGTTTGAAACAGCATTTCTCTTTGTAGCCCTGGCTATCCTGGAACAGGCTGGCCACAAACTCACAGAGATCCACCTTCCTCTGCCTCCCCAGTGCTGGGATTAAAAGAATGTGCCACCACGCCTGCCTAAGAAAGACATTTTGGGGCTGGAGAGATGGCTCAGTGGTTAAGAGCGCTGCCTGCTCTTCCAGAGGTCCTAAGTTCAATTCCCAGCAACCACATGGTGGCTCCCAACCATCTGTAATGAGATCTCGTGCCCTCTTCTGGTCTGCTGGCACCAGAAGACTGTATACATAATAAATAAATCCTTAAAAAATTAAAAAAAAAACTTTTTTTTAGATATGGTCTTTTTCTATAGCACAGGCTGGTTTGAATCTAACTCACTATGTAGATCAGGCTGACCGCAAACCTGTCGTGATCCTCCTTCCTCTGTCCCATGAGTGCTAGAATTACAGAGGGTGCCACCATGCATGGCTCTGAGAAAAATACTCTAGTTGACTTGAAAAGTTAGTTCAACTGTTAAGAGAAGACCCAGGTTTGGTTCCTAGAACCCACATGGTGGCTCACAACCAACTATAACTCCAGTTTCAGGAGGATTGCCTCTTCTCACCTTCACAGATACCAGGCATGCATATGGCACACATACACACATGTGGGCAAATTACCCAGTCAAATAAATCTAAGCACTTTTCTAATGTTAAAGAATACATTAAAATGAGTTAGGCATGGTGGGACACTATAATCTAACATCTAACTCAGTTTTTAGGTGGATTCTGAGGGTCAATTAGCTCAAACGCCTCAAAAAGAATGGAGCTCTTGGGGCTGGAGAGATGGCTCAGTGGTTAAGAGCATTGCCTGCTCTTCCAAAGGTTCTGAGCTCGATTCCCGGCAACCACCTGGTGGCTCACAACCGTCTGGAATG